GGACAATTTTGCTACAGTCTATTCTTATATATAATTCCAACTGCCAAGGGACCTCTTACGTGTACACCGGATCTTGGTTTTTCGCACCATCCGAACGACTATACTCCGTCTCTTGCCAGACCCTCTGTCCTGAACCACTGACCAGGGGGAACCACGCCGGAAAATTCCGATGAACTTTCTTGGCAAATACCAGGATCGAAAACAGGACCACCGGGGTAGACTTAGTGCCCTAACGTCTTACTAACTAAGCCAACGTGGCCCCCTTGTGGTTCCCTGATATTCCTAACACGGGACTCCTTTCCACTCAAGATAGAAGACTAAATGTCATTGTTTAAATGTTTTTTTTTACAATAATCTTTTTATGATTTACAGAAAGTCAAAACCGCCCGAAAATGACCAGGCTTTCCATAATGGATTGTAAGTTAAAATACTTTTTTGTTATCTTTATATTAGGCTTTAGTTGCTAAGTTGCACATCCGGGACCTAAATAAGAACTTTAAATGACCTAAGTGCCGAAAAGATGTGTATATCTGTGTTATATATATGAAGTTCATTTTTGTACCAACTGGGCTACACGAAATGAAATGAAATGAAATGGGGTTTAACGTCCTACTGTTCTGCTCCTATACTGGGCTAATGAAGACGGGCATACGTCATACAGTGTGCCTACTCTTATATCGAATTCCAACTACCAGGGTTCTTTTACGTGCATTCCAATATATACACGAGACCTCGGTTTTTAGTCTCATCCGAAGGACTAGACAGCTGTCCTTGTCAGGCCCTCCGTTCTGCACCACTGGCTAGGGGAAACCACGTCGGAAAATCCTGATGAACTTTCTCGGCCAATGCAGGGATCGAACACCCGACCTCCAGGCTAGCGAGCCAGCGTCTTAACCACCTAACCACCGTGGCTCCAACTGGGTTACACAGCATAGGGAAAGATAGCTTTAGGTGAATACTAAACGTCACAAACAGGCTAATATGATTATACAGTGTCCATGTGTGATACTAAATAACGTGAAGGTGGGACGGGTAGGGGAGTCTAAAACGTGCGCTTTGGATCATAAGATCTGGCATTGAGTCAAGTCACGTGGTTTCGCTTCTCACTTTGTACGTGACAAAGGAGTATGGTCACCTGTCAAGCATCGTGAGTTTTCTTTGGGTCATCATGTTATCCCCCACTGCTAAAGACCCCCTACCGCGAAGCGAATTATTGATATAATATTAAATCATATCTTTGTGTCGAGCGGATGTTAAACTCAATTTTTCTCTCTCCTAAATAATGTATATATATATATATGAAATGTTTTATCACCTGACATTTTACAGGAACCCAAATAGTAATGAAAAGGTAATAAGTAATGGGTAAGCAAACTTTAATAATCTACATTTATAAGTCAAAAAAAATTACATTTCGTTGTCTGCCATTTAACAACCTGTCAACATGTCGTATGCGTTTACTATGTTAATGGAGCAGGCATGGGCATGATTAAACTTATATACGTTTTATAAAACAAGGTGAGTAAGGCGTTGGCCACAAAAGTTCGTCGGGATTTTGTAGCCTGGTGCAGAACGGGGAGTTTGGTATAGAAAAACCGCAAGTGATTCAGCTGGACAAAAGCTGTTTAAGAAATCGAAATAACAGTAGGCCGTAGCATCGCTGTTTGTGCAACTTTTCCCCTATTGGCGCTGAATAGTATCGAAATGAAATGAAATGGAGTTTAACGTCCTACTGTTCTGCTCCTAACCTGGGCTAATGAGGACGGGCATACGCCATACAGTGTGCTATGAGGGAAATTTTGCCCGGACAGCGGCACTACGGCCTACTCTTATATCGAATTCCAACTGCCAAGGGATCTTTTACGTGCACGCCAATGTGTACACGGGACCTCGGTTTTTCGTCCCCGGTTTTCGTCCCATCCGAACGACTAGACAGCTTTCCTTGTCAGCCCCTCCGTCCTGCATCACTGACAAGGGAGAACCACGCCGGAAAATCTGGATGAACTTTCTCGGCTAATGCAGGGATCGAACACCCGACTTCCAGGCTAGCGAGCTAGCGTCTTACCCACTTAGCCACGTGATCCCCCTGAATAGTATCACGTTAAACCTGATTTCATTTGAAACATATTTAAACTAATGGTGGCTGTCAGTCTGATTAAAATACAGATCTATATTTCGTTTCGTTTTTTTATACTTTCGATGAAGATCTGACCAGTTGTAGTGGGAGGTCGTGTCAGAGGTCATACGAGCGGCTTTTTACCCTATGACGTCAGATATTTGATTAACCAATCAGCATTGATGTTGATAGTTGAATACCCACGCTGCAACAGACCGTTTCATTGGCTAATCCCTCACATCAACCAGAACGCGGGTTATATAAGATTAAATCTATAATTTTAAGGCCAGCTCAATTTTCGTCAAGGTCGCTGAAATGTAAATAAGGTTAAGGAACGTGGTTGTTGGCGAGATTGTAGGTTAGGGATGGGATAAGCATTTGGGGCTAGGTCCATTTAGGGTTGGAATTAGCGCTAGCCTTGTTTACATCTCGTGACCTTTGACCTTATTAAGTAGATCTAACTGGTTATATACTAAAAAAAACGAAACGAAATAGGATCTGCGTTTTAATCAGATTGTGTGAATGTAAAAGTGGTTAGAAGGCGAGGGTGGGGGGGGGGGGGTAGGTGGCCGAATGGTGAACACGTGCGTGTTTGATGATAAGGCCTGCAATTGAGTGAAATGGCGTGGGTCCAAACTCCAGGGTCTGCTGCGGGTCCTCCGGTTTCATCACACTGCTAAAGACCCCAACGCGCTAGCCGATTATTGAAATAAAATTGAACCATATGTTAGTCCCGAATTGACCTAGTTTGTGTCCATTGGACGTTAACCCCCATTCTCTCTCTCTCCCCCTCTCTTTCTCTCTCTCTCATATGCAACATGTACCGCGGCATAGGTAACATATTGCGTTCGATTCAGGAGTGCCCCCTGCGGGACTGACAAGAAAGGTGTGCCTAGTTGTTTGAAAGGGTCGAAAAACATAGGTCAATTTGTAAAGACATTGGCGTTATTAAACCCCATTTTATACCTTTATATTTAGACAACCACCAGCTGCTGACTCTTTACCTTTTAAATCGTAAGTTGTACATTTTATCTTTACGGATGGGTGGTTTATCAAAATTGTTAATGATACTTTATTTTTTAAAAAAAATATGTACCATCTCATTAGAATTTAGCTAATATTTTACTAGACACGTTATGGAATATGATACCGAATCTGGTAACTGTGTTTGGGTGGTTCAAATTCTATCATTGTGGAGATTGTGCTTTGACTTCGCAGTGATGAAGAATAGACAAGACAAGCCAAAACGTTGCTGAGTAATAAGCAGTAATTGTATTCCATAGAATTGTGACCTGTATATTCCAGTTCAATTACTAAATGCCACTGAAACAATTTACTCTAATGTAGTTGAAGGGCGCTTGAAAAAAAATACGAACTCGTCTCAGATGGTTCAGATTTTATCTTTGTGCTTCGAATGCAGTAGGCAAGGACGGAATAGTGTACCGTAGAGAGTGTGCCCTAACCTAGTGGAAAGAGCACTGGATATTGTATGTTTCAGTGGTAGGCATATCGTTGACTACAGTATATCGAACTGCGAGTTTAATGTTTCACTGCCATTAATTACTAACTTTTTCAGAAATAAAGTTGGCCATGCCGATGTTTAATAATGGAGTAAATGTTACAGATTGAACTAAATGCTCAAGACTATTAAAACGTAACATGGGAACATTTTGTATATTTTATAATTATATTTAGTATAACGATGCAGGCACGTCAGTTGTTTAATTTTCATTATTTTTACCCTTTGTTAGAATTTTTACTTGGATCGTTTTACTTGAAGTCTCTGACCGTTATTTGAGGTATTGGGGAATCTCTTATAAATTACAATCCTGTAGATGTTAAATCCCTAAAAGAAATATCAGCCCAAAAGTGGTTCACTTCCATTCGGTATTTACAAAGATATGCAGAATGATCAATTTGTGTACATTCGACAGACTATATAAAAGATATGTGACCAAAAGCCAGCGCCACCTGAAATATTCGCTTAACGGTTTTGTTGGGCATCTTTAGCGTGGATAAAGTTGTGGAAATGCATATGACGCATTCAGACTTTAAAATTTAGATTTAGTATCGGGAATTGTTATGTCTATCAGTTTATAATATTTGGTCATTGTAAATTAACCATACTTGTTTCCATTCTTACGGTGATTCTGCTATTTTTTATACGCATGCTCTGCTTTACAGGAAGGATCAATATTTCTAAAGTCCGATTTTTTATGACGTTATCTTTATTTGTATGTAATTTTGTTAATTTATTTATAAATAACATTTTATACTGTTTACGTATTTTGTGTTCGTTGTGAAAAGATTCTTCTTATAAGTAGTCGAAATGAAATAATTGCAATGCTTGCGGGGGGGGGGGGAGGGGGTAGAGAGAGAGAGAGAGAGAGAGAGAGAGAGAGAGAGAGAGATGCTGGGTATGTAAAGCCCAGAAGTACCCCCGCACGCAGATGTTTCTCCACAGCAGCTTATCTCAATGGAAAACTTGGATGTTGACTAAATTTGATAAGGGGTACCTTCAAGATTTCTGATGTCTGTTGTGTTTAAAAGCTTGCTAAAATCTATTACAAACTGTTGAATTGTTGCCTCAATCGCCATCACAAACCTTTTGACAAAGGGGGTGATAACTCTGGAACAAAAAGACACAGAACGCTCGGAATACTGATTTCAATAAGTTATGTCCTCTATCGCTTTCACAAGACAATTGGTGACGGACAGGCGGCCGTTTGGGTGTATAAAAATGCGGCGATTAAACGAAATCAATGTCGAGATCCACGCTGTATAGAATGATCCTCACTTATGACGTCTTTTACGTGGGATTCCACGTCCCACGACCAACTTCTTATCAATTAGTACTGTAAAAAAAAACAACCGTTTTGCCCATGCATACTAATAAGCTTTTAATACAGGTCTCTGAACGTCATCACTTGCAAACTACAATATTCTGCAAGTTGAATTTTATATTTAAAAAAAAACAATATCAGTCCAAAATGGTCCAATTCCTACCACTTTTTACAAACAATTGAATTGAAAATTTGTCAACGTTCGGCATTTAGCTTCATTCCATACGATATGACAATGTATGTCAACATAAATTAGCACCACCTATGAGTTTCTCTAAATCTTTTGAAATACCTCTTATTAATCCAATTGAATCCAAACTAAGAGATAATTACCTTTGATGAGATGTTGATTTTGTTTTCTTAATTAAATGTTAAAAAATCGATTTGAGTACATTTTAGCGTGGATAAAGTCGTGGAACATTTTATATTTACCCCGACAAATGCAAATGATGCACTTTAATAAATCGTTCCTCCATAACACCTCCACATCCCGCCAACACTTGAAATATTCCTATTTATCAGTAATGTACATCGTGCAATTTGTCAGTGCTCAGGCCAAATCCAACAAAAACAACCCTTGAAATGAAATGGCAATTCTCATTTCTACGGCACACTATACTTTCTGGGAGAAACAATACATTCGAGAGACAGGCATTCCCGTGACAAGGTGTGGTATGATATTTTCAGGAAAAGGTAAGCACCCACCACTAATCGGTCGACATTTTACTAATTAGTCGAGGACTACGTGGACACAAACTGTCTTAATCAGTGGTTAAAAAAAGTCTGTGAAGATTTCAGCAAAACCAGTCACACTTCCTTTATTTAAGTGATGAAAGGCGACCAGTTAGTCTTAGTAATGATAATACTTTTAATATCAAAATATATTACACATCTATAATATTGCTGGTCTAGTCACTGTTTTTGATCGTTTAAAATCCAAAATGGCCACAATAACTCGTTGAGAGTCCAAAAGCAGCATGAAACAGAACACGCCGACAAGAACCACCATTCCCAATCGGCCAGTTATAATAGCGGAAGGTCGGTGATCTTCCGCACTCGTTAATTTCCGTCGGGTAGATGACAATGTTGATTTATCCACAAACAACTTTTGCAGGATTTCTTTCAATTCGTTTTCTTGCACGCCGTAACTTCCGGACCCATTACCAATGCAAACACACTCACACAGAGCAAGAACCGGTGACTCTAAAAATATAAATACAGATATTGGAAAGTTAAAAAAAAATACCGTTGACAGTCTCAGACGCAGAATTATTATTTAGTTCAGTATAATTGATTATTATTTATAATTAATTATGGAGCCGCGGTGGCTCAGAGATCGGGTGCTGGCTCGCTAACCTGGAGGTCCCAAGTTCGCTCCCGGTGTTGACCGACAAATTTTCCCTTTGTCAGTGGGACAGGGCGAAAGGCTTGGCAAGGAAAATAATCTAGTCCCGTGTACATATTGACGTGCACGTAAAAGAACCCTTGACAGTTGGAATTCGAAATAAGAGTAGGCCGTAGCGCCACTGTCCGAGCAAAATTTCCCTTATAGCACACTGCATGGCGTATGTCCATCTTCATTACCCCATTCGGTGCAGAAAAGTGGGACGCTAAACCTCATTTCATGTATAATTAATCATATTGTTTTCGTTTTAGTTCCCGAGTATGAATTCTCGCGTAAGGATATGAACAGCCGTACCAAATAATTGTTTCCGGAAGTTCGAGTTAGCACCTTACCACTTTGTTAAAATGTTTTTGTTTGGTTGTATCACAATGTTTTTTTTTCTGTTTGTTTATTAAAGCGTTTCCAATGTCCTAGAAAATAAATTGACGAGTTTAAATAAACACCGAGACAGGAAGCCAGACTAAAAGCCTACTTGGGTGTATTGCCTACTTGGGTGTATTACAAATAAGTCAGAAAGGAAATCGATGCCAGAGTATGTCATTTCACGAGTTACTTCTTCCTTTTATTTCGAAGTAAAATAATTACATAATGCTCTTCAGAACTTAAGAGTCTAAAGGGTTCGGTCAGTATAGCGCTAGCTTACTAATCAGGAGGTCAGGACTTCGAGAAAGTTCTTCGTAATTTTCCAGCAAGAATGAAACGGTCTTTCGGATGGGACAACTAGTCGAGGTCCCGCTGAAACAATTGTAGCACGTTAAAGATTCACTGACAGTTGGAAATCGGATCAATAGTAGGTCGTAGCGTTGCTGTCCGGGTAACATGCACCTCATAGCATACCATATCTTCCAATTTTGAGAAGTACTTTGTGTCCTGATGTTCTATTCAGGCCCGGTATAAAGAATATAACGAATTATTTTTATATACAAATAAAACTGATAATTAGAGTCATGTTATTAATTTTTCAGACTTTCCGAATTGCCATTAGCTAGAATGAATGATACTTACTATCATTTATGTCTGTCACTAAATCACCAGAAATTGTCGTAGTTGGCATTATCATTGGGGTAATTGCGGTGTTATTAATTGACGAATCTATGCTCAACACAGATGATGCAGATGACACAACTTTTGTTACTGCAGAAGTCATCGATTCAAAAACTGTCAGCAAAGAAGTTTCGGTTGATAAAACAGATGTTCCTTTGTCGCTATATGTGTAGGTTAAAAGCGATTCGGTTGATGCGTATACTGTTGGTGACACTGATACTTCCTGGGGCTGAAGTAGAAAGCCACCATTCCGATTTGAAGTGTCTTGTCTTGAACCAGTGGTAAATGGTGAAGTTATCGTAGTTATCACTGAGTCTGAGTATGTTGGACTATTCTGATGTGAAGTTTCTATATCTGAATTGATGATAATTGTTGAAGTTATGGAGTCTGAATATAACTGACCATTCTGTGCCGAAGTCCTTTGATATGGATTTAGGGAAATTATAGAAGCTGTCGTTGTTGACGCTGAGTCTAAATCTACTAGACCATCCAGATTTGGCGTCTGTTGATAAGAATTGACGGTAATGGATGAAGCTATCATTGTTGATACTGGATCATTCAGACTTGGTGTCTTTTGATGCGAATTGAGGGTAAGTGTTGAAGCTATCATTGATGATACCGAGCCTGAATATATTGTACTGACAACTGGTTCATAAATACTAGACGATGTACCTCCAATACCATGATGTGCCGAACCACTAGAAGAAGCTGATACCCCGATATTTCTACTCCTCATGCTAAAATCTGTAGTTCCCATCAACGACTGGAAATCCCACACCGTTAGCCTATCAGTACTAGATGTTACAGGATCTGTAGCAAATGGGAATAATGGGGCCGACAAAGTCTCATCTAGGGAACTTGATGAAGTTAAAACGGTTGATTCTGGTGGTAAAGCTATTGTACACGGTTCTCTTTCTGGTAATGATGTATATGTTATCAACGACGTGTTGTATTTCCTAGTCGTATCTGAAAAATACAATATTAAAATACCTGATTGCTATATCCCCGAACACTTATTTTACTGTAACCACCGAGTAATATGTCGTGTATTTTGAAACTCGATGAATTTTTACCAGGAGAAGCTATCAGATTGTGTGGTGTTTCTTAATGTAATGTGATTCAGTTCGGTCTAACTGAAATACGATAATTAGAGATAGGCCTTTGTGGTTTACAAAATGTTTGTCAGGCACAAGGAGATAGAACTGTGTACCTCAAGAAGGTTTGAATCACATAGGTTTAAAAGGGGTGTTTTTCATAAATCTCATAAAAAAATCTTAAAGAAAAAGGAAGTAAAAAGGCAAAATGACAGTCAGTCACCTATTAGCGGTACTGGGTACTAAACATACATCATTTATAGTTAAAATAACGTATGTCGAGAACACTCGACGTCTGGCATACTAATGGAATTAACCTGTGTCGAGAACACCCTCGACTTCTGGCACCGAAAGGATTAACACTACATAAAGCATGCGGCAATGTAAATCGGGTCCTGGTGTCAACTAGTTCCATTTCCATTAGGGATCACGTGGCTAAGTGGCTAAGACGCTGGCTCGCTAGCCTGGGGGTCGGGTGTTCGATCCCTGCATTGACCGAGAAATAAGTGTGCTTTGAGGGAATTGGTTTCCTCGACAGGGGCGTTTCCGCTTAACCTTCTTCGAATTCCAACTGTACGGTGTTTCCTCCCATCAGAAACCACTCTGCAAAATACCGGGATCAAACCCAGGACAGCGCGTTACTCAGCCCCCCCCCCCCTGCAAAAAGTTCCCCCCCCCCCCCATGAAAAAATTTTCGACCATAAAAAGAATAGATATACATTGTCCGTCAATATTACAGCACCTCCGAGAACACTCCCCGCCCCCCTCGTTGCTCTGTGCTAGTTACGGTCCTGGCCTTACTCACTGAGTCACTCATACTAAACTTACGCCGTCGGTCTACATTCTGCTCCGCATGACAACAGACACCAATCTAGTTGACCATCTTTTTTAATTCCCAAATAGACGAATTTACTCGAAAACAGCAAATGTATTTTGTAAATTTTGAAAGGTAGTCAGTCTTTGTGTGTATGCCAGATGTAAAGTGGAATACATCCGCATCACAAAATAGTATACAGGGCAGAGATCTATACTCTCAAAGTTTGTGAGAGAGAGAGAGAGAGAGAGAGAGATGGGGTTTAACGTCCACTCGACACAAACTAGGTCATTTCGGGACTAACACATGGTTCAATTTTATTTCAACCATTCGCTTGCGCGGAGGGGTCTTAAGCAGTGGGAAGGAACCGTAGGACCCGGAGAAAACCCACGAGGTTGGACAGGCGACCCTACCCCTTGTCACGCACACCCGGGAATCGAAACCCCGCAAGTTGACTCAATGACAGACCGTATGATACAGCGCGCGCGTGCTAACCATTCGGTCATCCCCCCCCCCCTCAAAGTTTCTAATTCTATCTGTGTAGAATGTGGGCCCACCGTGGTTCTTTTCACCATAAGAGATATGGAATTATATATTTGTAGTGTTGTATGAAATATATTATTAGCTGTATAGATTTATGAAATAGGGGTATAATTTATAATTATGACTTAAAATACTCACATGCTAAACATCTTTTTACATAGACTATATTATATGCTGCAACTCCTATAAGAGGTGGTTTGGAGTTGATGTATGAATTAGATGATACCGAGATGGAACATATGCCACCCGCCATTTGAAAAAGTACACATGATTGAGGGCCAAGAGCAGTATTAATACAATCTTCTACACATTCTAAGTATGTTAAACTACCCGTGGCTATTTGGCCGATACCTGGACCTGGCATATGAAACGGAAATGCTTCAATCCAACAGTTCGCTGTAAGAAAACAACCCATAATAATAATAATAATAATAATAATAATAATAATATATTCCATCAGTGGTCATTTTGGTGAGACCTGTACCTGGCGATATTCGTGTTGAAATCGTCCATTTTTTTATTATAGGAGCACTGACAGCTCACATCGCAAGATTTGATCGCTATGTTTTGTCTTCATTAGTCTGGATGGTGCCGTTAAACTCCAATCAATTCATCACTGTGTTCATGACAAATGGTGGAGTTAACATTGATGAATAAGTACCCAGGGCTATATACTTAATAAGTCATGATATTTTAACTCGGTAAAGATAATACAAACAGGCGTTTAGAAAAAGAAAAACAAATATAAATGGAAGTTACAGACAAGAAAATAAAAAAAAAACATACCGTGAGGAATTTCGCAAATAAACTGGTAGTTGATCAAACATTTGAATGTATGAAGTTTAAGTGTTGACCAATGCAGGGCAACACAAGTGTTATTTTGAAACTGCCGTGGCTGGTCTATCGCCCACGGTAAATCAACATCAGATATATTACAGTTATCCCACATAAAACTATCTTCGCCACCGTGCAGACGTAATCCAGTCCATACAGAGGAATTCCTACAATAGTTTTAATATTAGTTTAAAGGTCGAAATAAATGTTTACTGTAAATTGCTAAAGTGGGGTTTGTTTATTGAACAAATCTAATACAAGTGTCTCTTGTTGGTTAATTATCCCTCTTCTGAACCGTTGCTCGTGTATATGGACGCGTATAGGGGCCAATAGCGCGATACATACCGCAATATTAAGTTGGTAATATGTCAACATATTGTGATTGTTCTGATGATTTTATCTCTGAAAAGACATTTTTTGCCGAGTTAATTGAATAACGCGCTATGTTGTATGTCGTCATTTCGTTTTAAATGTGCACGTTTGCGTTAAGATATTGCTATTCTGAAGCTTTGTCGACATATTCCATATCGCCGTAGCATATGTCGACATAATCGCGAAATATCGCCATTCGCTATGTCGGCGTGTGCATTTAAAACGAAATGACGACATACAACATAGGTAGGTTATTCAATTAACTTGGCAAAAATTGTCTTTTCAGAGATAAAATCATCAGAACAATCACAATATGTTGACATATTACCAACTTAATGAGCAACGCGCTGTGTTATAGGTCTCCATTTCGATTTAAATGTGCCCGTTTGCGTTAAGATATTGCTATTCTGAAGCTTTGTCGACATATTCCATTTCGTCGTAGTTTTGTGCCGACATTTTCGCGAAATATTGTCATGCGCTATATCGGCGTGTGCATTTAAAACGAAATGACGACATACAACATAGCGAGTTATTTAATTAACTCGGCAAAAATTGTCTTTTCAGAGATAAAATCTTCATAACAATTACAATATGTTAACATATTACCAACTTAATATTGCGGTATTTATCGCGCTATTGAGCCCTATACGCTTCCATACTTAAGAGAAAGTATAGGAAACTAATCGGTTGAACATTCAGAACTTCACAATCAACAGTTGTTTACAAGACATTTAATGGCGCGAATTAATTTGTATTGGGTGCAGTATTTAATTGGGTAATTAACATTTAATGGCGCGAATTAATTTGTATTGGGTGCAGTATTTAATTGGGTAATTAACAATTAATGACTATCGCTTTATTATGGATGTTAGATAATGGTGATTTGTCACCCGTGCCCCGCCGGGTAATTATGCTAGATGTATATTGAACAAAAACACATACTTCGCCCCAACTTTGTGAATAGAGATGCTTTCATTTGGTTTGCTTTGTCCTTTGCATATTTATTCACATCGTGATATCGCCGGAAATATCAATAAATTCACAAAGGATTTTATGCATGCCAGAAAACATAAAGATGTCTAAGAGAGACATAACATTGGGGTTTGTCAACATTATAGAGCAAAACGTAATCATCGATATCGCTTTTCGTAAAACACAAATCCATGTATTCATATATATTTATAATATAATACATTTAAATCCCCCATCAAAAGACAAATACTCTTATTAATAGTTGCAGTTGAAAAACAGAAAGAGCTAAACAGTGTTCTTATAATAATTCAGACAAACAAAACAAACACCCTATAAGACACCTTTATTAGCTCCATATATTCATGCCAAGGAATGAATTATCCCCTTGAGCGATCAGTAACAATAAAAGTAATGTAAACATTATATATTCATAGATAACTCATGTAAGGATTGATAAGTCTATATTTGCCAGTAATAGTGTATCTTTCACATGTTAAGAAAGATGTTTTTTGTCTGCACTGAAGTGTTGTTGATTACATCTTCAAAATGTTGTGGTGTTGCAACTAGGGCCCGAGTCTAGAGCGACCCAGGGGTATGCGGAGTAACGTTTTTTTTTTAAAAAAATGTTTGCATAAAGTAATAAAAAAATACACTGTTACTTGATCGTAAAGTAGAAGAAATCGATGACACTTCTGAATGTGGGAAATATAGTGGCATGGGTAAGATTAGAATCGGATTCTGTCCGTTCACTATTTAAGGAAAAATTGGTAAATTAAAAACTATAAACCTTAGCGCCATGGAACCTCGGCCCGTCCTCGTTCCGTTTGAGGCTATCGTCATCGTCAGGGTAACCTAGCCTGTAGAAAGTTACAATGATTGCTCTAGGTAGGCTGCTGGTAGTCTATAGTCTTCGATTCATTAGGCGCTAAAAATCTCTATTTTTTGTTCGATATTTTGCCAATTGTGGACCCTTTTCCGACCAATGTGTTTTAACAAAGTAACCTCCATTTACCCCAGATATACATGACGCTAGATGTGTCTTTCAAAACTTTTCGAGTCCGGGGTATCCCCCACCTCCACAAAGTTTCTTGTCCCAGTACCCGGATGTCGCTCTCGCGGGCCTCTGATTGCAACTATACAAATAAACCGATAGGGGAGGGAGACAGCACGTTGATATTGTTATAGTGGTGATGATGGCCACCGAATGTGTTCTGATAGATATTCTAATGCATAAACATCTTGAAAGTATCTACATACACATATACCTACTTCAGGGTACCATGAAGACATGCTGTTGTTTTTGTTGGGGTTTTTTTAAATTAACGAGATAAAATTAAACGATATATTTTACTTACGTTACTAGGGAATATAAAAATACATGTGTATTTAGGCAGAACTCTCTCAGGTTTTCCTATTACCTAGATCAAAGACAATTGATCCATTGATGTTCTTGACAGCGGATAAATATTTTATTTTAGAACAGCACGATCTTTAAAAGTTTTATTGACTATATTTAAAAGATTCAGAATGTGTCATGAAATAGTTTATAGAATAGGCTTCCACGGTCCTTAGTTTTGCTAGAGTGAAACCGTGGCGTTAGAAATCCGATTCAGTGTCGATTTGGTCCGACGGTGTGGCATAGTGTCCCACGGTGTGGCATGGTGTCCCACGATGTGGCATAGTGTCCCACGGTGTGTTACATTTTGTCTAGTACATAATTATTTTTTTTCATTTATTGGTAAGTTTGCCATACGCCAAATTTGTTCATAAGCTAGAAACATCAGTATGTACTCCAGAAACCATCATTTTAAAAATAGTTTCTTACACCAGGGGCATGAGAACCCTCCAGTACATCCTAGAGATGGGTGCCCTCCCAGATACAGACTCGGAGCAACCTTTGAACATCTATCGGACTGATAGGCTAGCACGTAGGCCACATGGACCCTTAACAGTATCGATAAGTTATTATTACGGCGTACATTCAAGACTAAAAGGCACCCCAAAACCATAATGACAGCCTCCTTCTCAGTTCAACCATGAATAAATAATTCTCAGAATACAATATCGATACACCAGATAAAAACGCGGCTTATTTAAAGAAAAAGAACTGGCCGTTCTTCTAATAATTATTCAAAAATATGTAATGAAAAATGAATATATTGAATATTTCATTATTCTGTGCGAAGTTATGAGTGTTTCAAATATTTGACAAAATGTAGCGTAGATTGTTTAAGATCGTAGCAATGGTACATGACAATCGAGAGTAAGTCGCGATTATCTATTTTACCGTTAAACCCTTAAATGGACCTTGTGTTCTAGTCTACGTAAAATTAGAGCCATTCGATGTCCCTAAGAGTTGATTATGGACTTGTCATGTTAATAAATATTTAGATAATAATTTATATAATGTATGAAGCCAGAAATGGGCAGATTACGCTCTTACATAATGCATTTTTAAAGGTTATTATCGTGAATTTATGAGAATTTCTAAAGCCAATCAGAATGATTCGAAATAAAACAAACGATAGACGTAATAACCATACATTTGACGTCACGTCATTGTTCGTTCAGACGACTGTGTATTAGAGGTGCAGGAACGTACTTTCTTCTGAATTTAAAAGGTGAATATTATTTTATTATGGAAAGCGATAAGTACCCTTTCGGTCCTTCTTGTCTTCAAGACGCCGTGACAAATATCCTAATCTCGCTCCGTCGCGCGGGGGTTGGATGGCTGAATGGTTAGCGTGCGCGCGCTGTATCATAAAGTCTGTCATTGAGTCGACTGGCGTGGTTTCGAATCCCCGGTTGTACGTGACAAGGAGTAGGGTCGCCTGTCCAACCTCGTGGGTTTTCTCCGGGTCCTCCGGTTTCCCCCCACTGCTAAAGACCCCTATGCGCAAGCGAATTATTGAATTAAAATTAAACCATATGTTAGTCCCGAAATGACCTAGTTTGTGTCGAGTGGACATTAAACCCCATTTCTCTCTCTCTCTCTCTCTCTCTCTCTCTCGCTCCGTCGCGACATAACTTCGCTATGAGTTAACAGCGTGGTTACACATCTGGCCTTGTTGCCTTCGCGCTAGGTAAGAAGGAACAAAGGGGTAATCATGGGCTTCCATATTTTACTGTTATAAAAATTATGCAAAAAATTACCTCTGCTTATATCTATATAAGATAATATATCTTTTTGACAATATTTTTTAAAACTAAACTGTGATTTTAGCTTAATCATGGCGGATATTTCTTGGTAGAGCACATAAATAAAGGAATCGAGTTTTAATCTTTAAAACATACGTGCAAAGTATGCTTAGTGGTTCGGATGGGGCCATATTTTCCCTCTCTGAATACACGAGTAACCATTGAAGTGAAAGATACGACATATAGGAGGCAAATAGCCATAAATCAAGATATCGACAACCATGAAGACTACTTTCCTTCGTGAATTATTGCTTTCGCCTTCCGGTTAAAGAATCGTTGAGGGCAAAAAGGGAAGAAATCTCGCTCCGTCGCGGCTTCGTTTCGCTATGAGTTCAGAGCGAAGGCAAGAAATGAACAAGGGGCAGCTAAGAAGTGAATCTACTTCTTGGCTTCGCACTGATTATGCCTTGCCTTCGCGCTGAACTTAATAGCAAAACGACGGAGCGAGATTAGGTCCATTTGTCGCGGTTGCTTGGCTTAGCATTTAGCTAACGCGAAGACAATAAGGAGCAAAAGAACATTTATCCGCTGTTATAAATATGTCTTAAGAGAAAGTATAGGAAACTAAGCTGTTGAACATTCAGAACTTCATAATCAACAGTTATTTACAAGACATTTAATGGCGCGAATTAATTTGTATTGGGTGCAGTATTTAATGGGGTAATTAACAATTAATGACTATCGCTTTATTATGGATGTTAGATAATGGCGATTGTCACCCGTGCACCACCGGGTAATTATGCTAGATGTATATACAAACAGAAACCTATACTTCGCCCCAACTTTGTGAATAGAGATGCTTTCTATTGATTTACTTTGTCCTTTGCATATTTATTCACATCGTGATATCGACGGAAATATCAATAAATTCACAAAGGATTTTATGCATGCCAGAAAACATAAAGATGTCTAAGAGAGACATAACAGCGTGGTTTGTCAACATAGAGCAAAAAGTAATCATCGATATCGCTTTTTGTAAAACACAAATCCATGTATTCATATATATTTATAATATAATACATTTAAATCCCCATCTAAAGACAAATACTCTTATTAATAGTTGCAGTTGAAAAATAGAAAGAGCTAAACGGTGTCCTTATAATAATTCAGACAAACAAAACAAATACCCTATTAGATACCTTTATTAGCTCCATATGTTCATGCCAAGGAATGAATTATCGGGCGCCCAGTAGCCATAAAAGTAATATAAACATATATTCATAGATTGATAAGTCTATATTTGCCAGTAATAGTGTATCTTTCACATGTTAAGAAAGATGTTTTTTGTCTGTACTGAAATGTTGTTGATTACATCTTCAAAGTGTTGTGGTATTGCAACCAGGGCCCGAGTCTAAAGCGACCCAGGGGTATGCGGAGTAATGTTGTTTTTGTTTTTTTTGTTGGTATAAAGTAATAAAACATACACTGTTACTTGATCGTAAAGTAGAAGAAATCCATAACCCTTCTGAATGTGGGAACTATAGTGGCATGGGTAAGATTAGAATCGGATTCTGTCCTTTCACTATTTAAGGAAAAATTGGTAAATTAAAAACTGTAAGCTACTTGCCCCGTCCTCGTTCCGTTTGAGGCTATCCTCATCGTCAGGGTATCCGGGCCTGTAGAAAGTTACAATGATCGCTCTAGGTAGGCTGCTGGTAGTCTATAGTCTTAGGCGCTAAAAATCTCTAACTTTTGTTCATATTTTGCCAATTGCGGAGCCTTTTCTGACCAATGTGTTTTAACAAAGTTATTATTTCGACGTAAATTTAAGACTAAAAGGTGCCCCGAAACCACGTAAGAACATTAACTTTGTGGCTCCCGAGTCTACCATACTCACAGTCTCGTTCTCAAATCCTTCTCAGTTCAACCACGAATAAATAATTCTCAGAATACAATATCGGATAAAAACGCGTCTTATTTAAAAATAAAGAGCTGACCGTTCTTCTAATAATTATTCAAAAATAGATAATGAAAAATTAATATATTGAATATTTATGAGTGTTTCAAATTTTTGACAAAATGCAGCGCAGATTGTCTAAGACCGCAGCAACGGTACATGACAATCATCTATTTTAACGTTAAACCTTAAATGGACCCGGTGTTCTAGTCTACGTAAAATTAGATTCATTCGATGTCCCTAAGAGTTAATAATTTTTAAGATAATAATTTATATAATGTATGAAGCCAGTAATGGGCAGATTACGCTCTTACATAATGCATTTTTAAAAGTTATTATTGTGAATTTATGAGAATTTCGAAAGCCAATCAGAATGATTCGAAATAAAACAAACGATAGACGTAATAACCATACATTTGACGTCACGTCATTGTTCGTTCAGACGACTGTGTATTAGAGGTGCAGGAACGTACTTTCTTCTGTCTTTAAAAGGTAAATATTCTTTTATTATGAAAAGCGATAAGTACCCTTTCGGTCCTTCTTGTCTTCAAGACGCCGTGACAAATATCCTAATCTCGCTCCGTCGTGACATAACTTCGTTACGAGTTAACAGCGCGTAGAAATCATCATATCTTGCCTTTTTGCCATCGCGCTAGGCAAGAAGGAACAAAGGGGTAACTATGGGCTTCCATATTTTACTTTTATAAAAATTATGCAAAAAATTTACCTCTGCTTACATCTACATAAGATAATATATCTATTTGACAACATTTTTTAAAACTAAAAAGTGATTTTAGCTTAATCATGGCGGATATTTCTTGGTAGAGCATATAAAAAAAAAGGAATCGAGTAACCATTGAAATGAAAGATATGACATGTCAATCTCAAAATGACCGAAGAATTGTCTGGTCGAGACGTTAATCCGCATTCTGGTTAAAACTCTTAAAAAATCCTCAAACGCATTATTTATTATGTTGCAATTTTTGCTTTTTGTCCCCATGGACAGTCCTTAAAATGTAAATTCATACGCTCTTTTGTGGAAGACTTCTGTCGTGAAGACAAACGTCCGTTTGACGAATCTAAGGCATAATAATCCGGTACAATTTTATTTATATAGATCGTTTGCACGAAGGGGAGAACTCGGAAAACCCCCAGGAGATTGGTCTGTCGATTCTACTTCTTGTCACGTACAAGTGTGGGATCGAAACCACATCACTTGACTCAGTGACAGACCTCACGATCTAAAGCGCACACGCTAGACACCTATCACTCTACCAAAAGATTTGTAACAACGTTCCATCTGTGGTTAACGTGACCTGTAATAGGCGCTATTGTTACAACCTTCCCAGGTCAATGCTTATATTCAAATTTAAACTCTCCCTCAAATTCTTAATTTCGAATCCCCGGTTGTACGTGACAAGGAGTAGGGTCGCCTGTCCAACCTCGTGGGTTTTCTCCGGGTCCTCCGGTTTCCTCCCACTGCTAAAGACCCCTACGCGCAAGCGAATTATTGAAATAAAATTAAACCATATGTTAGTCCCGAAATGACCTAGTTTGTGTCGAGTGGACGTTAAACCCCATCTCTCTCTCTCTCTCTCTCTCTCTCTCTCTCGCTCTCTCTCTCTCAAATTCTTAAACCTAGCCTATACTTAGAGTTTTATTCTACCCTAAATTGAGAACTAACAACTTCAGTTTTTTTTTCTTCTCTTTTGAGTCTGATTTGAGCTACTGTGTCCTTGTTTTTCTTAGCTTGACAAGGTTTATGTGTTAGAACTATATTCAATCTATGTAAATCTAATAAAACGAAATATAAACTAAACGAAATACCGAGTTTTAATAGTACCATTTAACAGTTTGTGTGATTACACGGGGTGCATAAAAATGTCCCGTTGGAGTCAAGGGGGATGAATTAAAGAGCACGAACTATGTTGAATTAACACAGTTCAAAATTATCCTAAAGCTTAACTTAGTTCAGTAACTACCGGGGTTGTAGCCTACTGGGAAGTACAGGAAGGATGGCCGGAAAGGGAACAGCGTCTAGTCGTTCGGTGAGATGAAAATCTGGTGTCCTGTGCACACGTTAGCGTTCTCGTAAAAAAAAAAAGAACAAAACTTTGGCATGAGAAGTAGGTGGAGGCGCTGCCGTCCGGGCAAAAGTTCCACCATAGTACACAACATGACCTCATTTTCTTTTATACCGAATAAAACAAATCTCGTAAGTATTCTGAAGTTAATAGCTTGAATCAGTAGGCCTGGCCCTGAGTTCACAAAGCATTCTCAGACTTAAACATGCATTATGCAAGAGCAAAGTCTGCTTATTACAAGTCTTTCTTTAGGTTATCTAAATTATCAATTAGACATTAATTAACTTATCCAGACCATAATAAACTCTCGATGTCAAGGCTATAGCCCTCGGTGTTGGCTGGATTAGATTCTTATATGCCGCTAACGGCCGTTGATAATTAAATCAGAAAAAGTGGATAATCGAGACTAAGCTGTTTATATTAATGATTTAAGTAATGATGACCGAGACTAGGCAAAAATTTCACCCGCTTCTTTCTTGGATCATAGTGGATCAATTTGACTGAAATTTACACTATCTAGTTTTTTTTTAACTATTATAGCGAGAACTGCCATCTCTTTATCTTATCTCCCATAATGTATCTTTAAGTTGAGAATTTACTCAACTTTCAAGTACTGTTTATGAAAAATATCTTTGATCCAGAAACACGAAACTTTGCACATAGTTTCTTATTGATGTATTTGATACATTAAAACAACACAAGTTTTATAAAGGTCTATATTTTAGTTAAAATAAGGAGAACAATTTTGAGTAAATTCTTAACTTAAGTCTGAGAATGCTTTGTGAACTTGGGGCCTGGTGTATTAACTAGATAATCAATGATCAAATCTAGAAGTAATAATATACTTTATTATTATACTTACATTAATAAGCCTTCACTATTCATCATAGTAAATAACGTGTTTAAATCTCCAACATTTCCATTGTTTATAAAAGATAGGAGTCTTTGGTCATTGTCTGTACAGGCTTTATCAGCTTCCATCCATGTTCTAGAATCGCTTGATACTATTAGATCACGTGCATGGTTGACTTTACTTAAAGTCATAGCTTAAATTTAACGAACATAACTGATGATTAAATTCATAAAGGTAAGAGTTTTGTAAAGTTGAATAAATAAAATCAGGGTATTTGATAGCCTATACATTATGAAATATTTATAGACAATAATGTATGCTTCATCTTGTGTATTTGTACGGGAGCACAGGTCGGTGGACATCCCCCATTCCATACCCCTTGAAAAAATATTACAAAATCAATAAAATCAGGATGAATCTTTCTATGATTTGAAAATAATATGTATGAAACTTTATAAAATATAATACATTTCATAGAGGGTATTTATACGGGAGCAAAGTGGGGGCCGACTCCTCCTCAAACCAAAATAAAATAGTAATATTTCTTATATAAATGAAAGATTTATTTGTCGTGTTACATTGATCCCACCTTCATTATCCCAGTTTGTGCAGGAAAAAGGACCTTAAACTCCGTTTCATTTTTTTTCTAATTGTTAGGTACTTAAATGGCGCCATGGGTCCCTTTTCACAAGCAGTTAATTTTCTTAAAATCTGTTTTACCTTAATAGAAGTCACATTTATCAAATAGAGCAGAAGCAGGCGTTTTTAGATTTTTAACTTTAATGAAACGACTTTATATATACATGTTTTCTGTTTTAATCACAAATAGTTAAATCTCTTACCCTAAAATTAGTCATATTTATCAAATAGAGAAGAAGTAAACGTTTTTAGATTCTTAACTTAAACTTGACTTTAATGAAACGGCTTTTATACACATACTTTTCTGTTTTAATTGCTAAGGTACTTATATAGCGCCACGACAGGTCCCTTTTCACAAATTTTAATAGTTAAATCTCTTACTTTAAGATAAGTCATATTTATTATCAAATATGGGAAGAAGCAAACGTTTTTAGATTCTTTAAAAAAACGGCTTTATACATACATTTCTTTTCTAATTGTTGGGCACTTAAATAGCGCCACGGGTCCTTTATCACGAACAGTTAAATCTTAAAAACGATTTTCCCTTGCAATAAGTGATATTCATCAAATAGAAGAATCAGACGTTTTTAGATTTTTGACTTAAAACTGAGTTTATACTTATGGTAAGATATAATTTAAATTTTGTTCAAATCCATGATAATAGCTTTCGTGAATAAGACGCGGGACGTCAAGGGATAACTATAATATAATTATTAATATACAAATATACTTACTAATATAGACAATCAATATGACGATAAAAGATTTACTAACAATATCCAAACTAAGCATTTTAACAGATTATTGAATAGTTTAGACAGTTAATTAAAACCTGTCACGTAAGGTGAGCTATATTCTTGCTTTATGTACGTTGCGCCATGGTCTATAAAAGCGATGAAGTTTATATGTGGGGCTTTATATGTCTAATCAAAGACTTTTATTGATCCTGAAAATTACAGTTTGTTTATTCTGATCTATACAAGCTAATGTACATATATCCTACATGTTACAATCATTAACAACAAACGTATCCCACCCTGTTGTACCTCGATTTTTACAAGGAGCACGCGCGCCATGTCCGTCGTTTTCTGGACTAAACGGGCTACGGGCTGTAGTTTTCTATGATGGAAATATCCCGGACAGTGGTGTTACTCTTCATGAAATTCCAAATGTCAAGGTTTCTTTTACGTGTACACCAAAGTTTTTTCGTCCCATGCGAACGACTAGATACTGTTCTTTACCAGGAATTCAGTCTTCACCAGTGCTCACTCTGGGTTTCATTTTTTTCCCGCCAATTTTTCATTTTAATTTATTAGCCATATATTTTCTCCGCCAAAATAAAGAATAAATATCGATTAGATTTTTCAGTATTTTTTTTTTTTACATAAGTACATACAATATACATATGATATTACAATTTACAAAATTCTTCTCTGCTTTGCAGAAGCCCATTTTTTGAAAGCTTTTTCAACATCTGGGTTAACCACTTTTCCAATACTTAGTAACATTAAATTACACAGTGATCGAGGCTAGGCCTAAAATTCAAAAGCTAATATCTCGGTTCAGTGGATCAATTTGACTGAAATTGCCAGCATATTCTATTCACCATCTTCAAGGTGAAACCACACCCAAACATCCCTGGTTACTCCTGGTTAGTGAGTCGATGCCTTATTCATTGAGTCACCGTGGCTCTGAACTGTTAAAGGCAATTTCTTTTCTATTTTAAAATGAATGGGCCTCTTTGATTTCGATTAATATAGCTAATGAACTTTTACATTTTATATGTTGATTTGTTTCTATAGATAAAGCTAATGTTGAGATGTGACGGTCGATTTTGTGTTCTAAAATTAAACACGACAATTTCCTGTTAATCTTTTCAAATAAAAATAGTATAGAGTTTGCATCATTAATCGTAGTAACACATTATGTCATCACAATTCAATATTTTAAAGGACATACATGTTCGACTCTCTCATTTTGAGTCTTGCTGCTGCATTACGTAAGATTTATACAAAAGAGCTGACAGTTCTCGTTACAATAGTTTCAAAATAGAAAATGAAAAAGGAATATGTTGAAACTTTCAGTCAATGAATGTTGAAAGTTTTGAGAAGAATAGTGTAGTCTCGATTTTCATTGCTACCATTGTTACGATAATAAACGAAGTCTCGATTATCCAGTTTTAAATTAAATTATTAAATGGGCATCGTGTTTCAATCCGTTAAAAATCACTACAAAAAAATCTATAGAGAGTTGATTATGGGCTTGTCATGCGAATAAAATAATTTATATAATAATTGAGGCCCGGCCAGTGGTTCTACAGCCTACTCTAAGTCTTATTTCGAATTCCAACGGTCAAGGAATCTTTTATGTGCACATAAATATGTACACGGGACCTTGGGCTTTCGTTCCATTCGAACAACTACGTTGTCCCTTGTCAGGCTCTCCGTCCTGCCCCCTCTAACAAGGAGGGAACCACGGCGAAAAATCACGATGATCGAACATGGAAACTCCAGGTTAGCGAGCCAACGTCTTACTCACTGAGCCACTGCGGCTCCTTACTTGGTTCAAGAAAACCTTTCTAATCAAGAAATACCGACATGTATGAAATATTTAATCTATGTGAAACAGACATGAATTGAGGTCATCATTCTAGATTTATCTTGTTCCTACAATAAAGATGTCCTTTATTCTGGCTTTACATGTGATATGAATTATTATATAGACATTAAAGATGCATTATTCAAGAGTTAAATCTGCGTAATTCAGAACTTGCGTTTGGCCTCAAATGTTATATAAATCATTAATTAGACATTTATTTACATGCCAGGCCTATAATCAACTATCTAGAACTTCGGATGGTTTTGACTTTCAACAAATTCAAATACGGTTGACAGTTAATGATTTAAATTAAAAATGAATAATCGAGACTTTCTTTATTATTGCAACGACGGTAGCAATGGCGATCGAGACTGCACTGTTCTTCAATCGATATATTCACTTTTCATTATCTATTTTTTAAAACTATTATAGCGAGAACTGTCAGCTCCTTATATAAATCTTAATTCACATGACAACCCAATACGGGCTCGTATCTAGACACCATTAAGCGGGGGGAGGGGCATTACCTTTCGGTGGGGGGGGCGAACATTTTGAGGAAATTTTCGGAAAGGTCATTCTAACAGACTGTTGTAATCATGATGCTATGTAGTTACCTAGGCGTCTAATAAGCATTTTAAAATAAGTATTCAAACAAAAAAAAAATCGTGATTTTTTAAATTTATTTAAAACTATTTTAGATTAGTACAAAAAAAATGGTTTATAAAGTAATGAGATACCGTGGGATTAATATGCGCATAGTCGCCTGAATTATACCTCCTTCTGCTTAGGGAAGCGTAGTTTTTTTTAGGTTAATATAAGGAACTGTGTATACTTTAATGATTTTTAGCAATTTCTGAGCGGGGGGGGGGGGGCATTTCACGCGGGGGGGGGGGGCATCCCCCCGCGCCCCCCTGTAGATACGGGCCCGACCCAATAATCAACTCTCTAGCTAGGATATCGGATGGTCGAGATGTTAAATGGATTAGAACACCCGCACCATTTAGTAAATGAATCTTACTGAAATCTGTAATATCCTTGTATACTATTTTGTTGGATATACTAAAGCGAAGTGTAGACCGGATAAGCTGTTCTAAATGACGTCACTTTTATAGCATCACGGCCCAATTATTACTTCAATACCGAAAATTCTATTGGATCAAATTGCAATTATATTGAATTTCGTTTCATCCACATACTTAATAATTTCACTTACTTTTATGAACGATTCTTTTACGTAAGTAAAGCTCAATGAGCTTATTTCATGTTTAAAGCCCCTGAGTGTGATTTGAGCGGTATAGGAAACCCTTGCAAACTACAAATTTATAACAGTTAGATTTCTCATTTTAATATCAGTCCAAAATGGACCATTTCCGTTCAGTATTAACAAAGATATGATGAAGTGAAATTTCATCGACCAAAAGGCTGCTGCTGTTTTGTAAATGGTACACATTTACTTTTTCTATTTTCTCGCTTCTTTTTTTCTTGACTGATTCTGTCGACAAAACATGTCTACATGTATTTGAAGCCGAACTTTCCGCCATTTTGTAATCCGCCATCTTAACGTGTTCGCGAATCTAATTGATGGGCGTTTTTTTTTTAAACCCAAGCCGAGAGATTATCTAACCTTGATATTTTAAATTTATTTGCTTAATTAAATGTTAAATAATCAAGCTGAGTACATATTAACGTGAATAGAGTCGATAGGCATTTTTTTTCCGACAAAATGCAAATCACGGATATAGCTTGCTTTACTGCTATTTTTGATGATAAGTAGTTTATATTTCATGCCTTAGCCATCCTTATGTTCTTGACATACAGATAGCGTTAAGGTGATATGCTAACATTATATTAGGAGTTTATGTATATCGACGTATGTGATATCACCCTAGATACCATCAAACTGTCAACATTATACTATTGTAACTTAACAAACCATACATACCGACTTGACATGGAATTTATTTCAGCTAAACTAGACGAAAACAACGACTGGCTGCATGCTCAACAGTATATTATTTTTTTTCTGTTCAAATGTTTGTGTTGGCACTTCATGGCCGCAGAGCCGCAAATAATATCAAAGGGTGCTCTATTGATGAAATTGAAATATCTCGTCGATTCATATAAAAGATCAATGTCTAAGAGAATAAAGGAGTATGTATGCATAATTGATCATTTGTATTGGTCTTACAATGTTAGATAATAATAGATAATATAGAAATTTCAGTCGTGACAAAATAGAGTAGAATTGTGATCAAGTGCTATAACTAATTGACACATGGATTATTTTCCTTGTTCCTATTCTCGAGTGGATTGTTTTTTATTTGCTGCGAAGATGAGTGATGATCACTGTAATGATTTCATACCTAGGTGTGAAACAAATTAGCCTCATTTTCTTATGAACAGCTTTTACGAAAAAAAAAGAAGATTACTTCGTAGAACCATCGTTCTTTACGAATAGAGATTACCTCGTAACCACGGTATTTTGCGAATAAATATTGCCTCGTAACCACGGTGTTTGTGAATAAAGATCACCTTTTAACCACGGTGTTTACGAATACAGATTACCCAGTAACCACAGTCGTTACGAATAAAGATTACCGTATAATCACCATGGTTGCGAATAGAGATTACCTCGTCATCGTGGTGTTTACGAATAAAGATTACCTCGTAACTACGGTGTTTACGGATAATTACCTCGTGGTTACGAATAAAGATTACCTCGTAATCATGGTGTTTACGAATAAAGATTACCCCGTGAGTGTTTACGAATAAAGATTAATTCGTAACCAAAGTGATTACGAATAAAGATTACCTCGTAGCCGTGTCCAATGTGTTTACGAATAAAAATTACTCCGTAATCACAGTTTTTACGAAGATATCCTGCACCATAAATACCGTAATTATGAAAAAAATTAACTCGTAAATACTTATCTTTCACCTTGCAAACTAATGGTGTACTATTATGACTAATTAAACACAGCCAAACCAATATAGGTACACATCTTTACATAACCGAAAAAAATATCGGTTAAATAAATCAAGCGGTGTTTTTCGTTGACTTCATTTACGTGCATGTACACTGGACCTGTTTTTCTTCCCATCCGAACAACTAGACGCCGTTCTATGCCAGACCTTCCGTCCTATAGAGCAGAAAAATAGAATCCACACCAACACAACATAGCCTGGGGATCTTGGGTTCGCTCCCGTGTTGGCCGAGAAAGTTTCTCAGGATTTTCCGTCACGGTACCCCTTTGTCAGCCGTGCTGGGGGGAGGGTCTGACAAGATGGTATGAAAATTCGAAGTCCTGTGTACACATTGACGTCCACGTAAAAGCATTCTAGACAGTTGGAATTGGATACATGAGCAGGTCGTAGCGCTGCTATTCGGGTAAAATTTACCCACAGCACACTGCATGGTGCGTGCCCGTCTTCATTAGCCCAGTCCGTGCAGAACAGTTGAACGTCAAATGCTATTTCATATCATTCCAAATGTAGTTCCCATATTATACTCCGCACATAGATTAACAACAATATCAATGCAGAGTTTGGTTGGGTTTTTTTAAAGATAAATATATACAGGACACGTTTCACATTCAGTTCAAGTTCATAAACAAAACATCGCAATATCTTCATTCATTGTCACGCTTTCACAAAATGTCAAATACACATAATAAAAAAAACATCAAATGAAATAATTGATCATGGTCGTGAGAAATGAAAAGAAGCAAAAATGAATAAAATTATATCACATATTTCCAGGGTGTAAATTCATACTGTTTTCAGTTTATCGTGTACGAAATATACCTTGTATAGCCTTTTCTAACCTAACATCATCCCTATATCCTTCCTGAATAACTTCTGCGTCCATCGGAATAACTACGCCGTTGCTTCGATCTGGCAGTATAACGAGTTGGCGATCGGTACCGCTGTCGGGAACTATCAGGAAGTTTAGAAGAACGCAGATAATCAGCATAAACTCTTTGAGGAGGCGATGGGTATCCAATGTCTTCCATTATTGCCGATTCTACGTCATATTCGTAATACGGATTGTGGTCAAATATCATGGGTTCTCTTCCCGGAACAAGTCGTCGAGAACTGCTCCTAAAAGGATGGTGGTAATTTGAGGCTCTAGACAGGTTGACTGACTCCATATCTTCGCTGTATCCTGTAACTGGCCTTGGGAATACTTGGCGGGGGTATCCAACACTGCGCCTCATGGGCTGTAACTCCATTGGTGTATGCTCAAATCTTGGTCTCATGATCGGAGGTAATGCCCGACCACGCGGATTTTGACCAGTTGGTGTCGCGTATAAATGATATCGCCCATTTTCTATGGCTATTTTCACGTCTGTTCTGGGGTAAACCCCGTATGTTTCTTCGAGTTCGCGTTTTAGATCTCCTGGTATTTGGTCGAAGGATCCCGCAAAGTCTCCCGCATCCGCTAACTTTCCGTATTCTAAAGTTCCATCTAAAGTGTATTGTCCAAAGCTTCTAGCTGGATGTTGTAAAACAGCAGGGGAACTAAATGGTACTGGATGCGGGGGGAACCCACCACTTTGTATCGGTGGTAACACAGGCATTGGTTTAAAGGGCGGGGGAATAGCACCAGTCATTGACTGTCCAACATGAGGGGCGAATGGCTGGGGGTTATAATGTCCCATTACAGGTTGACTTGAAAAATTCTGAGCATTGGGTAATGGAGTTTGGTATGGTTCTTGCACTGGCGTTTGTTGCACTTCTGTCACCGTTGCGGGCTGTTGATAAAGTTCTGGTCCGCCATAAATAGGCGGAGATGCGTAGGTTTGTTGCATAGGGGCATAAGAAGCTCCTGGAAGTTGTCCTTCGTGATAATACGTCATCTGGGATGCGGCTTGAGCATCAGATTGTTGCGAAAGGAAGCCGTCTGCCCCTCCGCCGCCATATTGTTGCTGATACACAGCTTGAAGTTCTGGTGGTAGCAACGAATTATATGCCATCATAAATTAAACTATTTACACTGGTGTACTTCCGTAAAATAAACTTTATTTGATATACTACGTTCAGACATGCCATTATTATTTCATTCGGCCATTTTGTCACGATGTATTATTACTCATTGTACGAAGCACACTTAAATCCCATTTCAATGTCTACAGCCTAAATCCATATGTCACCTTGAACTTTCTTTTGGAGAACAATTTAAAAAACAATGAACGAAAAACAAGACTTTTTAAAATAATATCAACACGAAATCGTCCCTACACAACAGAACACCCTGTGTATTTTTAAAAAAGATATACACGATTAACGCTTGAAGATTTCGTTGCTGCCCTAACAAAGTAACCAACACAAGTCATTTTTTCCATTGTTACATTGATATTTCATTGAGAAATGTTAGCGATATACTACACTGTGTGCCTATATGGTGTATGTACAGTTCGTCAACGGTATATACTTATAGAAACACACAAAACATTCACTCGCCTTTTGAAATTACAATAGATTTTATTGTTATGCCATTGTTATTGAAGGGCCCATATAAATATCAATGACAATGCGCCGTTGAGATAAAGACGGTCAGGTTTATAGGTGTTCACGTATGTACTAATATATCATTTCTTACTCATATAAAAAGTCGATTTGTTGTTGTTGCTGATGCTTTAATTTAGCCAAGGCATTCGGAAAAGATAATGCACTGTGTGGTTGAATCACAGTCATTTGAAACTTTGCTAGTTTGATTAAAATAAATACCAACCCGTGTCTGTATACATGAAATCTTCAATTCGAATTCACTTCAGGCTATTATACTAAAGGCACGCCAGACCAACCACTGAGTTTAAAAGGGAAATCCTCGGTGTAGAAACAAGATTAAGCAATTAACAATGATGGTAAATTAATTTCAGGCGAAGTCCGTGATCGAACTAGGGACCTCCAGGTTAGTGTAGTAAAATTGGATCGCGTGGGAGATTTTACGTCCTCTTCCACCGTCCGTCGATATCGCAGATAATGTCTTGATATTTTTTTTATTTCTCTCTCCCTCTCATCCGGTCTGGGTTTAAAGGGGTACTGGGGGCTTATGATTTCTATTGGGGTTTCAGATTCAGAGGGTGGTCTCGAGTGTCTTGTCGGCAATGTCGAGACCTCCACTTTCTCCCACGTTTCTTTGACTCAAGGTGACTTTAGGAAACTGGTTCTGGGTTCGACTCTTTACTTTTGTTGATTTCTTCTTGAACTGGTGTAACTGGAGCTGGAATTGGGGTAATTTTAATTCTCTTTTCATGGCATGAAACAGGGGGAAGCTTAGCTGTTGACGGTTACGCAAATTTGGAAATATAAATTATTTACATAGTCCATATTAAGGTCATTATAGATAAAATTTGGACCGATTAACCAATCAACTATTTAGTATTTAGTGACCCATTCACGGCTGAGGGTGTATTATCTTTTGTTCTGAAACCATTCCAGACATGTTGAGGTAATAAAAGAATTGTTTAGAAGATAAGTCGACTCCGGCCGGCCGCTGTGAAGCGACATTATTTAGCTCGCCATACTCTTCTATACAGATGTATGTGAAGGAACACGGTTTTCTGAGTTTTGGTATTAAAAGTGATGTATTAAAGAAGTCATAGAGACGTTCATAGGGAAGCCATAGAGAAGTCCATATGGAAGCCATTTTGGAAGTCCATATTGAAACACAAAGTGAAGTCAAGAATTAACAAGAACTGTGACACATAATCGATCGTGTTACATCTTTTTTTCTTTATTTGGTTCCGTTTTGTAGAACAGTGTAACCCAGGACTGGGTTCATGGTTTTTGGTGACCAGGATAAGTGTGCCACTTGATAATAGTGGTACTAGAATACACACTAGTCTTACCTCTTTCATTAACAATCATCATGATCACTAAAAACATGTAGCAGGGATAGTGCTGCAATTGTGGTAAACCTGTGACCAGGATAGGCTTACAATTCGAACTGCTATGCTTCATTAGTGAGGCAGCACCTTATAATTACACACGAGTCGGAGCAGAACAGTAGGGAGTTAAACCTCATTTCAATTCATTTCCTTACACATTGAGACACTGCACTTCCGATTGATAAAACATTTTTTATGTGTAAAAATATCCAGCAAATCCAGCTTTCTGTCCCGCACCCAATTGTGTTTAAAGAAACAAATATTCCTGACAAAAATTTCCAACATATTTTATATTCCATAAAATATCACAGATTGTATACATTAAGATACTATAAATATATATATAGCAATAATAATCCATTACACAGCAGTTATTTTTAATGCTAATTAATGAATGCTTTAAAACTGGAAGGTCTGCCAGCAGTAATAATAAAAATATTTAACCTTACATAAATAAATAATATTAAATATTTAATTTCCAGCAGCAGAATTTTTTAATAATACTGATAAAATAAATTGAAAGATGTGGAGGAATTAAATATTCCGAAAATAAAAACATTATCACAATATGTGGCTGGTAAATGTGACAAAATATCAAATATACCATAAGCAGAATTGTTTGGAGTTATATATCTTCAAGTATTGATCATTCGTAATATAACACAGTGGGCTCTGTTTAATATTTATATGTAGTTTACTCTATGACACAAACTGTACAACATAATAACACAGTAGCACATCTTAAATTGCCATTTCATTGTGCAAAAAACAGATTGAAATCATTCTTTGATGTTGGCTTAATGATGCAAGCATTTTGCCAATCATACATTATTAATTTTATAGAAGATGAAATCCAAGACTGTGACGAATTAACTCCTTACTGAAAGTACTGTTGATGGGTGGAAGAATCCCTATACAGTGCAGGGAAGATCGGATCTCAGTGATATGGTTGTGGACCCAAAGTAATATAATAAAGTAAAGGTAATATTCCCCAAGAAGATGGTGGTCAAGTGATGATTTTATAAATGAACATGCATGATAGTGTAATCTGCATTTTAAATTGTTTAAATTAAAAGGCTGAAGCGAGATATTGTGTAATATATGGATACAACCCTCAGGCTAACGTCCTTGTGTAGTATCAATAATATTACTTAATGTCTTGTTCTCTACCTTTAAACCACACTTACACAAACTGGATTTAGTGAAAATAATTTAACAGTGAAGTGAAGAAGTTTATTAATGTTCAACTTGTACTAAAGCAGGGAAAGTTCTCATTCTTAGTCTCTCCACCTCAGCACGTAACACAGCCACTTCCTGGGCCTGTGCTTTAGCTAAATCAACTAATTTTCTTCTTTGTATTATTTCTTGGTATCGTTTTTCAGCTCCTGTATCTAATCTTCTTTCAGCTGAAACAAGAAAAATGAACTTATTTTCTAAACACATGGAATCATTAATGTCCTTTTTGTTGACCATTTTAATATTTTTTAAACACATGGAATCATTAATGGCCTTCTTGTTGACCTTTTTTATATTTATCTATATAAATAGAAAAAAATGAAAATGGGATATACATTACTTTTCTGCATCAATAATGTTAATGAAGACAGCCACACATCATGCAGTGTGCTAAGAGGGAAATTTTAGCCTGCTCTTATTTCGATCTCCAGTACGGGACTTCCGTTTCTTTTATCACTAAGACACTTTTGTTTCTCCTTGCCAGGCTCCCTACCCTTCACCTTAGGCAAGGGTAATCTATAATGCGAGAGAGAGAGAAATGGGGTTTAACGTCCACTCGACACAAACTAAGTCATTTCGGGACTAAAATATGGTTTAATTTTTTTTTTCAAAAATTCGCAACTATTCGGCCATCCAACCCCCCTAATCTATAATGCAAACATGTGCATCTCTAAGCAGGATCCTCCTGGTTAGTAAGCCATGGAAGCTACCACCCCCGCCTATATAATATATTATTCTTACCATTGACATCATCAATATGTTTTCTCTCATTTACAGATACGATAAATTCTTTTAACTCTTCATCTAATTCATGATTTACTGTTTCTTTCTGACGTATTTGTCTGTTTAACTCTCGTAATGTTCTCTGTCTATCACCAATATTCTTCTCATGATGCTGAAATATAAATATCAAAAGTAATTTTCTATGATCTCGACCATACAGGGAGAGCAAGGGAAATTAGATTTTAAACAATTTTGAGCGATACCGATTTGGGCATTGACCGAAAAATTACAGGTTTTCGGCCAGAAATTAAGATGGATATGTGTCATTAAGTGCAGCTCATGCAGTTTTCAGAGGACTATAACTTTGAATATTGTAATTTTAAAGGGGACTGTAAGTTTATATTAATATGTTTAATTGGACATTCCCAATGACAGCCCAACAAGATCGTGTTAATGATTCTGTCCCTTGTCTAGGATATAATCCTAATCACTAGAAAAGTTTGAACATTTCTGGGGAAGGACAGAGCCCATTTTGATGTCTGTCCCTTTAACTATGTTTCACCTTGCAATAAGATATTCCCAAGCCAAGCAAATAGAGGATAAATCTTCTTCTTTTCATTTTTGGTATGATATATTATAAAATGCTTACCTTTTTAAGTAGAGCTAAGGTCTGTTCTAATATTGAAATATCTTGTGACTTTTTAGCATCATAATTTGTTTCATTCAAAAACTGAAAAAGACAAAAATAGTAAATATTTCTTTACTCTTGATTACATTACTTTTTTATAATTTATTGTGAAGAACCAGTCGATCACCAAAATTATTTCAGATTTACATTCACAGCTTCTCTTGTAGAAATAAAGATTTGTTTTCTTCCAGCGTGCCAAATTAACTCTTTGAACACAAGAGGCCAGATTTTAACCTACAATACAATCCACATATATTTTCTTTGGTCCAAGAAAGACAGTGTATTGACGTGAAACTCAGCAGGGTTAAAATATTTACTAAACAATATTATACAAATTTGAGAAGACTTACTGCTTGTATTTCTCGAGTAACTTTCATAAACTGTATATCTTTCATCTTATTCTGTAAATCATCCATCTCCATTAACATTCTCTTATGTTCCCTGCAAAATCATACATTAAATATATTAACACTTAAAATAATACATTAAATATATTAACATTTAAATCATACATTAAATATATTAACACTTAAAACAATGAATTAAATATATTAACATTTAAAATCATACATTAAATATATTAACACTGTGTAAACTCATATATTAAATATGTTAATATTGTGTAAACTCATACATTAAATATGTCAATACTGACAATTATACATTAAATATGTTAATATTGTGTAAACTCATACATTAAATATGTCAATACTGACAATTATACATTAAATATGTTAATATTGTGTAAACTCATACATTAAATATGTCA